ATCAGCAATAAAACATATGGGATGTATAAAACCCAGGCCAAACGGCACACAGGAGGGGTATTAACTAGTCACTCTACAAGCCACTTCAAACACCAAGCAGTAAACACAACACCGAAGCGCCAGGCGAGAGGAGCCAACACCAAGGCCTCAAGAACACGCTCGTCCAGGGCTTGCGGACACTACATTTACCACATAAAGTTCCAAGCCCCGAGAGAATTCACAGTTTAAGATAATTCAGCCAGGATGAAAAACATTGGGGCAGCATTCTAGGAGACAGACAGACACATCCAAAAGAAAAGAGAAGTACGTTGACACAACTGAGCAGCCGGCAGAGCACATCAAGAGACCAGGACGTGGACATTGGTATCAGCCCAGGTCTGACCATGAAACAGAAACTACTTAGTGTTTACATCCCAGGGGCTTTCACACAGGGAGCTGGTTACCCCTCTGAAGGAACAGCTGGGAAGCCAGTGAGAAGAGTGAGGCCACGCATGTGCTGAGAATAGCAGGAAACCAGCGTCAACCCTAGGCAGTAGGGACAAGGGGGAGAAGGGATTAATGGAGCACCCAAGGTGGGCGGTGTGGATGCTGCGAGAAGCCGGAGCAGGGAGGGCTGCCTCATCCCTCCCATCTCCCACAAGGAGCCCACAGGACCCCAGAAATGGCAGCACACAGGGCTCAGGCCCCATGAACCAGGGCAGGGCAGGAAGAGGGGAGGATGAACAGGACAACAAAGAGCCCAAGGCTCCACCCCAGCCTTCCTAGATCAGCCCGAAGCTGTAAAGGGCAGCAGGACTCTGACTTAGAAGTCAGCGGTAGGGCTGACAGCGCCATGCGTTTTTAACCAGCTCACAGGCCATGCTGATGCGGCTGGTCCAGGAACCACACTTTGAAGAGCCAAGATCCAGCTGATCCAAATGAAGGGCTGGACTATTATCAAAAGGAACAGAATGATGAGGACACAGCCCTGGCCCAGATCCTGCTCCTGTTCAGAGGGAGAAACCAAGACCACCAAACTCAGATGATGAGGAACACTGTGGTGGAAGTAAAACCAAATGTATAAAAGAGGAAAACAAAATCACTCTAACTGGGAAGCAGGAAGGAAATGTAATCAGAGCTTCGAGCTTCTGACAGTCAGAGAGAAAGGGGAAGAGCTTCGAGGATGGAGTGACCCAAGCCAAGAGACACCAGGGAACCAAGCCCCCTGGGCGTGCAGGGCAGGCGGGGCTGCTGAGGGGCTGGGGTGGGACCCGGCAGGGGGGGCCCCGACTGGGGCAAGACCCACAACTCTGGAAGAGATCGAGGTCTTGGGGGCCAGGCAAAGGAGGCTGGACTTTAATTTTCAGGAAATGAGGATTAATGAAAATGAGGCAGGCAGATTAAAGGAAAAGAGAGGATACACAGAGTACACTGTACAGGACATAAAGCTCACTACCCAGCTGCCTAAGCTGCCTCTTTAAGATAAACAGTTTCCACTGTCAGTAGCTACTTTCAGAGTAACTCAGAGTAACTCTATTACCTCTGACCCTGGTGACTTGGACTTACAGAAGAGGCTGCCATCCACCCTGATTTCCACACTGAGAAACAGGGTATGTGACAGTTGTGGCTACGTGTCATGACCCAGTAAGTCAGAAAGAGAAGTAGAGTCTAAGATTCGAGTTATGCAAGTCAAAGCCCAAGGCTCCACTGCCATCGCCATGGTGCCACCAGCTCAGCTGAATACGGCCCCGCCCTTCGGCAGAGCACACACGTGCCCCCAGCCTGTCACTCTCCCCGACCGCCACTCAACAGGACCTCGGATTTCACTCATCCAGAGCCAGGGAAGCCAGACTAGATTAAAAGGAAGGGAACAATGTTACTCCATAGCTTGTGAGCACCCATGAGCTCAGGAGCTGGTGATTCCAGGAAAATTAAGGGACTTTCAAGAGTAATTCTGAGTTACAGGGGCCTCTACCTTACACACTGACTTGAGAATCTTACCCCTAAATGAGAGGGGAGCTCCCACAAATTCCTAAGGCAACTCGTCAAAGTCGCATGACTGAAAGAAGAGATACAAGCAGACAGCACAGGGAGCTGAACAGTGACAAGAAGACCATCAGGACTGAGAAACTGGTCATACTCTGCCTTAAGGTTCTCTCTTCAAAAAACTGAGTCTCCTCTGAAATTACTTGTCGATCAAGTTGGACAAGAAAGAGTATACGCAAGCTCTCCCTATGCCAATGAACACCACATAGGCCCTTGTCTCCCAGTCGGGCCCCTGGATGTTTTAACTCTCTTCAGTCCTCTCTCTGAAGTCTCTCCCTGGATGTTGAGAATCGGACTCAGAAGGGATGAAAAGTAACAAAACAGAGTAGACAAGCAGACCCTGAAGATGAACATAATCCCAGCAATTTACTGCTTCACTGGGCTTGCCTCTATAAAACATGCAAGTTCAGTAGAAGAACAAGTTCCCAGAATTTGAAGATTCTTATTTTAACATGAGCAGGTGCAGATTAAACCACTGATCTCAGAGTAGTATTGTACATTTACACCCTTGCCAGCACTTTATTGTGAGCGAAATGTATTCCTCTCCCCCTTGACTTTCAGTTCGGCCAACCGACTTGTTTTGGTCAATGTGCTAACAGCAGACAGGGCACAGCAGGGGCTTGAAACATGCCTGACTAGGCCTGCTTGTATGTTGGCAAGACCGTGACAAGAGCATGCCTTGTACAACTAGACGGTCCAGAGGATGAGAGCGCAGGGGAGCAGGCTTGGAGCCCACCCACAGCCTGGGTCTAAGCTCAGCCAAATCCCCAGCCAACACACACTTGCATAAGGGAAAAATAATGTGTTAAGCCACTGCGTTGGAGGGGGTTCTATGCAGCACTCCTGGAACAATAGCTGACTGAAGGAACAGTCAGCAGAACTATGGGAAAGGATTAAACAAACCACACAGATACAGACTCATAGAATAATAATCTTTCTCTCCATCAGTTTACAAAGAATGTTTTTTGGTTTTTGGTTTTGTTTGTTTTTTTTTGTTTTTGTTTTGTTTTCAAAGAATGCATTTACATAGCCCTCTTCTTCACCTTAGCCCTCAGGAACTGTCTTCCAGTAAGAGAGGAAGACAGTCCTTAAAATATCAAACCTGAGGAGAAAACAACAGAAGATTTAAAGCAAAAATGCCAGCAGGAACTCTAACATGGGCTTGCAAGGCCAAGAGAAGGGAACACTTTGAAATATCATTAGCCTTTTTCATAACCTTTAACACCCTGCACATGTCCCATTTCTAAACTTCTCATCTGAAAAGTTACAAAAAATAAATAAAAATAAAAATAAGATTAATGAAAATTAGAATTGACATTAGAGGACTTAGCTTCAGGGCCCAGGAATTACCTTGTGAAAAAAAGCACCAGGGGTTCACCATGGTAACTCTCGGTATGGGCATCTCTGCAGAGATGTACAAAACACCAGAGTGACAAGGAGAGATGGCAGCAGATACAAAGGAGAGAAGAGGCTGAAATCTTTCAGATTATTGCTTCACTGCCTCCTATGCTAACAGGCACTACATATACTAATGACTTCTCAGAGAGCTAACTCTGATTTCTCTGTTCCTTAAATGGAACAGATGTTAGTCTTCTCTCTTGAGCAAATTCATTGAGGAAAGGATACAGCGCGCCATTAGAGGTCACACGACTTGGGCTTCACCGGTCACAAGCTATGGCGCTGCTCAGAGCTAATGCAGCTACAGAATGAAGAATATTCACATCTGCTTCCACACCTGGCTGTTCTCAAGTGCCAGTGGGGCCTCTGCTCAGCTTCCTGCACAAAAATCTCTCCATGAAGGAAATGAGGAGGGAGTCCCTCAGATACATCACCATCATCACGAGAAGACAGAAAAACAAGTCCGGACAGGGCAGCCACTGCTGTGGCAGCACCTCTGTAACTGAGTAGGTGTCAGGAGGACCACCACTCCCACCAGCACTGACGATGCAGCACAACCTCTGACCTCAGGTGACATGGCCTCCTTCACCCCCAGCAGGCCCAGGTGCCTAAATATAGGCACCTTCCATAACGGGCGCTGCCACTCTCAGAGAGCTGTCAGATACAGAAATAATCAGCTACCCCAGCCTTCTAAGTTTACCCCATGCAACGGCCAGTGGGTGCCCTCCTTTCGCATGGAGGAGCTCTTCCCCCAAGCAGCTCAGACTCATCTACCCGGTCTCGCTGTTATTAGGGGGATATTTTAATCCTTGTGGAAAGCTCGACCTCAACCAGAAACCTAGGATTCAAAGTCCCTAAATGATTTTCTCTCAGGCATTAAGTCAGACAAACACAATCAGCATAAAGTTCAAGTCCAAAACTCAAACCTGGTGTAACTAACTGTCAGTAGTAGATACAGGTTTTCTACCAACTCAGCATAAAAATGGGAACATAAAGAAATGTGCTTTTGAAGCACAAAATTATAAAAAATGGAAGCCATTACTGAGGCCCTTTCACAGTGTGTCTTGCCAAAAATGTAGACCATCGCTATTTAGCACTTGACACATACAGACAAAAAGATTCTGATAGGTAATTACTGGCGAAGAAATTTCTGAAATCTAGTCATGCTATGCACACATATTCTACAATATTGCCACGGGAAGTATTTTTTTTCATTTGAGATATTACTTTTATATTGGGTCTTAACAAAAGCAGAAAAGCAACGTAGACACCCTTGAATAGTAAAGGGAGCTTAACATGTGCTGAGTCAAAAATGGAAAAACTCCAACCAGTGAAAGCAAACACCTGAAGTATCAGATCACCTCTACGGTTAAAACACACACAGCTTTAAAGTCTAATTGTTCCCCTTCCCATTTCTTCAATATCAAACCAGACCCTGGGCCCCTCAAAGGTCACCAATCAGTTCCACTGATCTTACCTTAAGCAAAGCACATAACGGCTATATTTGAAGAAGAAAGAAAAAAGTTTTACCTATTTAAGACAACATGGTAAGACTGATACGTTTTTATAATTCTTACTTTCAAAATATTTTGTGTTTCATTCCACTTATTTGTCCATTCTTTGGTCAATTCTTGAACCTAAAAGGAAAAATACACGTGTGACTGTGCTGTAAAAAAACTATTACGGTTTTCTTCCAGAAAGTTTCCAAATATGTATAACTTATATGTACTACATATTATTTTAGATTAATTTAGCAATTTCTGTCCCTGAAAGAACCATCAACAAATATAAATCAAACCAGCTGACTTCATCCTATAATCTCCATCATGGCAAAGGAAAGAATAGAAAAAAATTTGTCAAGTTGACTGGAGTTTTACAACAGTCTTTTTCATGGTATACTTAAATAAAAGCTGCTTCCTTGGATATTAACCAAAATTACAAGTTCAAGGATGACAATATCACATTAAATGGGCAAATTTTTCCTGATTATACTTTAGCTCTCAAGAAATAGTGATTTATTTTTCTTTCTAATTAGATGTGGTGATTAAATCACCTTGGATGCTGGAGTTTTCTAATAGATAGTCTGCTTTTGTAGTTAATTAATAGAGTTTATAAATCTCATTGTATCTTAAAAAAAAAAGGTGGCTCTTTAATTGACTAAAGCAAAAGTCTTTTGGTGAAATTCAACTTATTTCCAGTCTGCTATAATTTAGGGAAGGAAATATGCCCAACTGTTGAATATAACACAGTTGGAAATTGCTTCTCAAAGTTAATGAAAATATTCAGCTAGTTGCATAAAACTTCTTAAATGATGCTACACAGTAATTCATTAGGAAGTAAAATGTATACCTGATTAGGAGGTAGGGGAAAAAAAAAAGAATGAAAACTGTGTCCTCTAAAAAGAAATATAACTAAGGCTAAAAGAGAGTGAGTTCCTAGAGGCAGAGACAGGGATCTCATCCTTTAAGCACCTTCTGTTTTAAGCCTGGTTAGCCTCCTGCCACTTCTCCACTGCCAACAGCAGGCACTGTCTCAGTTAGGCCTCCTGTCCTCCCACTGTAAGCTGTCTTATTTAACCAAGGCAAAAGCAACACACGGAGGGCACCTGTTTGTGCCCTCGCTGCTGAGAGGACACTTTCTGCACCCACTCAGCAAAATCAATGGGAAAGGGCACTCGTGTCAGCAACCTTCATGAGGAAAGCTTCACTCACAGGAAACGGAGGAGCTGGAGCAATGGTTCAGCCGGGAGGAGAACCAAAACATACCCCACCCACCTACACTCAACCATTCAGTGGTCATTCATTTTACTCCACCATTTACTTCAAATAGGACTATAGGAGTTCTAAGGTAAAATAATGGCTCTGCTTTGTAATGACTTATTAATGTCAAAATCTACCATCATCCTGATAAAAAAAAAAACTGAGCCTAAGTTTATTTTTTGTATGTTTTTAATGGTTTGGTAAGACTGTGTTGACCTATCTCAAACTGATACATTTCATCACTTCATCACTTGAGTAATACTGACCCCACAGACTCAAATGACAGCAACAGAAGCCACATGGCTCTCAGGGCTTTCTGCTAGGAAAAAGCATTCAGAGAGGGAATATTCTTACCCTGTCTCTCCCTAAAGAAAGGGGAAAAATTGGTGTACTGAATTTACTATTTATAATAATCAGTTATCAGATTCTCCTTGGTCATTTATCTGACAAACACAAAGTATTCAGCAATAAAGCTTCTGCATTTCACCAACAGGTAGTATGCTCTCCCTGCAGAAACATAAGCCAATCAATCATTTTCCAGTGCAATCCAATAACTCTGGCTTTAAACAAACTGTAATGCTGCCTTGGATTTATTTTACTATCAAAATTTAAAGCAAATAATTTTCATTTAAAAAATTAAAAAGAAATGCAAACATGTGGTCAGGTGATAAAATTTATAGCCAAGCAGATGGCAAACAATTTTGAAAGGTCAGCCAAAAAAAAAACAGAAGAAAACTTAGAAAATGTTATGAACAAGATAGGCAGTCATTTCTGCCACAGCATGTATAATGCATTCAAATTAAAGTGTTTATTGGTTTCTATTACCTTGCCAGGTACTCCTGAAAACTATTAAAAACAATTTAAGACTATATACAGACATTTCAAAGCACTCAAAATTAGAATTTGAAGTACTAAAATTTTATGAGAAATATAGCGATTACGGAACTAATGTTTTTACTAATGCTATTATCAGGAAGTTAATCAGCATACTTATTCAGGGAAGTGTCAAGTTCTAACTATCCAATTTATATCTTCAATATTGTATATTCTTGAAAGAGCTTTACCAACAGAATCCAATTCTTTTCCAATCTGTTTTAACCATTCAGCACAGTGAACAAAATCTACTCCCAAAATTGTTAATGCCTTTTTTTCTTTTCACAGAGAATTATTTTTTTAAAACAAAAATAGTAGAGAACCGGGCCAGCCCTGAGGCCAGTTTTCAGAAAGCACCAGTACATGAACACTGGCCGACAGGCGCCACAGGAGCTGCTCTGTCTTCCCAGCTCTCACCACAACTCCCTTCCCTGCCTCAGGTCTCACTGAGCTTACGAGGAACTAAGCATCTACCTGGAGCCAACAAGACATTCCCCAAGTGCCATATTCCCACTGGAAGCAAAGCCAAGGATGACAGAAACCCACAGCGTGGCCATGAGTTAGCTGTGGTCAAGACACAGGGACCCTCCACCCACCGTACAATGGATGCTGAGCGTGGCCTCCCCACCCAGGACTCTGTCCACTCTGAGGCCCATGCAGCCTCATTGACTCATAAGCACCCCATGTGAAGCTCAGGGGCAGGTAACCACCTCGTTCTAGACACACCCCATTCATAAAGCCACAGAGAATGGGATGAGATCCATAAAAATCAACTGTTGTGATTGTTTACAAATGGTGTGGGAGCAGGAGGAGTATTCAGTGAAATGAAAAAAGAAAATGAGTCTCAAACACAAGTACTTAGAATAATAGTGAAAGTTAGGAAATTTTTTAAATAACAAGTCGAGGTGTCACTTACCCTTGCTTCATTCTGTTGAAGTTTTTCCTCCATACTTAAGGCTGTGGGGGAGTCTAAGAGGGCAATCTATAATTTAAACCAAACAAGAAAGCAGAATTAGCAAACAGCAATAACCTAGACAAAGGATTTGTCAATATACTAAATTATCAAAAATTTCCCAAAAAACTAGTAAACAGAGGTCAGAAGCATTGTCCCCCATTCCCCAAAGAGTGTTAGTCATCACTATGTCTGTAATCCACAGGGACATATCTCATAATATTCAAGACCACAGCGTCAGGTGCACCTATATTTGCAATACAAATCAGCAGAGCAAAGGAAAAAAGACAAACATGGAACATACTGACATTTTACCAAAATTAAACATGACCTAAATCCCTAGATCCTAAAGGATTTGTCTGTTTTGAATATGCACAAAGTACAAAATTCGAAAAGTAGGTAGCCTAAGTCTTTCTTTCAACTACAGACTTCTGAGATTCATCCCTGTTGGTATGTGCAAAGGTAACTCATTTGTTTTCAGACCATTCCATGTATAGTGTGGCTTTACTACAATCTATGCCTCCATTTTCTCAACCATGTTGTAAAAGTGTAAGATTGACGTAAGAATGACAAGCTCCACAATCAGGTTAGAACTTGGGACAGAGACAGGAGAGGCAATGGGGCCAGGCACAGTGCAGTGGGAACACACTGCTCCCTTAAGAGGTCATCTGAAAGAAAAAAGAGGGGTCTCCCTCCCTCCCCAGCCAACAGGCACCCTTAGCCAGTCTGCTGTGTAAACTTGCAATTATTCTGGTCATATGCAAGCATGATTCTGCTAGGTTTTTTAAATATAAACAGCATGAACACTACTTTGAATATTGCTCTTTTCACTCAACAATAGATCTTGGGGAAAATTCAATACAAGTAAATCCACTTCATTCTTCTTAACAATTCAAATTCCACTACATGCTATTCCACTGTATGGATAGTCCATAATTTACGTCAGTACTTTCCTATTAATGGAAATGCAGTCTTTCTACTCTTCTTCTTTACCAGCAGTGCTATATAATGACTATCCTATGAACAGCTGCCTACAGTATACATGGCTGTGTCAAAAGAATAAATTCCTAGGAGGGAATCTGTGAGTCATCTGTATGTGTGATTCTTATTTTAATTGCCAACTTGTCCTCCCCAGAAATGGCAGCATTTTTCTATTATTTACTTTTCAATTTCTATTGAAAATGTAACACCCACAAGGTGGTGTTCTCAGGCTCAGCCAAACATTCAGATCTGCAGCAGGCCTCACAGCATTCCAGAGCCATGTCTCTGGCCCTCTTAAGGGGTCCAGCTTCAAAGAGGCATGTGCAGGGCCCACTGTGGCTAGGAAGCCCATGCCCCACAGGAGGCATCATCTCTTGTAACAAGAACACAAACTCATCCTCCAGGGTCAAATGGGACGCACCCCAATACAAGAGTCATTGTACTAAGGGAAACCCAAAGCTATGGCTTCTCACAGGCCTTTACCGTTCATGTGTAGTTCATCCTAATCCAGATCAAGTTCACCTATTGTGGGTCATTTTTATCATTATGGATGTTGCCTGGTTACAGAGCTGGCATCCCACTTTTATCAGTTTATAGAGAATGAAGCCAGCCAGTTAACCCTTAGTGAGGAAATTCACCCTTCACAAAGGAAGGAAAAAGAGCTTTGCTCACACATTACCACAATATGTCATCGCTCCTGGCATGCTGTCTTGCTCACAGATGGCACTCAATACATTTTCCACTGAAGAAATGCAAGCTGCAGACATTATTATGACTGCACTGTTAATATATGGTTGACAATTTTTAAAACAATTAGTAACCCCTTATAAAGTGGCTGGTTTCATGGACCCCACTGTTGGGATTTTTCACCTATAATCAAAGCTGAAGTATTTCTACCATACCATCAACTCAGTAGAAAACACTGAATATATGTATTCAGGCTGTCATGACCACCACAACTTCTGGAAAACTACTGTGAAACACATATAAAAAAGACCCACCTATGTCCTTTTAAGAGAAATCTTTGGTAAAACTAAACCATTTTCAATTAAATTATTTTTTTGCGAAGTGCCTGTTTTGAAGAGAATCGTTCAGTATAAAGTAAATCTCAGATGAAGTTAATGTGTTAAACCAGGAGTAACACTGCATCAGAACTCAGCAACATCAACTCCACTAACAATATACTTACACATGCCCTTTGCTTCCCGCCCTTTCCAATATATTGTGCAGTCAAGCATTTTGACCTCTGCCCATTGCCCCATCGCAGAGGTGAAAGGACAGCTCACTTTTTTAAATTTTGAGGTACAATTTACATACAGTAAAATACACAGCTTGATGACTATGTATCCATATACGTATACACACACACACACACACACAGCTTGATGACTATGTATCCATATACGTATACACACACACACACACACAGCTTGATGACTATGTATCCATATACGTATACACACACACACACACTCATTTCACTATTCTCAATACTTGCATCTACCATATTTCAAATGACGTTGAGCATACTTTGTTACATTTAGATGCCATTTGAAACCAAGAGTGCTCAGATTCTTTGTCCACTTTACTGTCAGGTTGTAATGTTATTTTTTAATAGCTCTTTTCGAATTAAGAAAAGTAGTCTTTCGTTGCATGGATTGGCAATCTTTTTCCTAGTTTGTATTGACTAGAGCAAATGTTCACTGTCACGTAAATATGCAATTTCCTTACTTATTTTTGTCTGTGTGAGCTCTCACAAAATAAGAGGAATGGAAGTCCCTGTAACAAATGTGTGTGTGGCTTTCTCCTGCATGTCCCACAGCTGTTTTCCTTTATGAAAGCTGATGTCATGTTTGATATTAATTACAAATTGTGCTCTTTGTCATAATAAAAGTGCATTTTTAGGGTCACATAATGCTGTTTTTGTATGGCTTCCTTTCTCCTTGAATTATCTCGTTGGCCTTTGCCCACTGTTACAAGCATCATAAAGCTGAGTTTTACTCTGTGACCCTCTCTGAGATGTATCAGTCTTAAAAGTTTATACATAATGATATTTCTATTTTCTAGCTATTTTTAAAGTTTATCTGTGACTCCAGCTATACAAATGAGAAATTCATCCTACTTCCATCTTCTCTTACTTGTCTTATTTGCATCCTGGCTTTTCTTGCTTATTTCACTTTATACTGTTTAATTTTCTTGTTTATCTCCAGACGTTCAAGAGAGAAGAATTAACATTTTCTCTCTGCCACCACCCTGTGATGCACTATACATACATCAGAATGATTACAGTGAAAAATGGACAATACCAAGGTCTGACAAGGGCTGCAGCAACCAGAACTGGTACTTTCATACACTGATGGTGGAATATAAACTTAATATTATAATATAAGTATAAATATGATATGTTTTCATTTGTAATTATAACATAAACCACCTTAAAAGTTGTTTGACAGCATTTACTAAAACTGAACGTGTATATACCTTCTGATACCCCACCCCACTCTTGGGCATAAACCTAACAGAAATACATCTGTTTACTCACTAAAAGACATGTAAGAGAAAGTCCATAGCAACACTAATAGCCCCAAGGGGAAAAGTCCCCAAATGCCATAAAAAATAGCACAGATAAATGAATTGGGACATACGTGTATGACAGAACACAATAGAGCAGGGAGAGAATGTACCTACAATTACATGCAACTACGTGGATGAGTCTCACAAGCGCTGAGTGAAAAAGTGAGATCAAAAGAGTATATACTGCATGATTCCATTGACATAAAGAACAAAAACAGGCAGAACAAAAGACTAATCTATGCCTTTACAAGTCAGCATAGTGGTTACCCTTGACGGGACTGGCAAGCAGTACCTGGAAAGGGACATCAAATGGGGCTTCTGGGGCACTGGTAATGTTCTTTCTTGATGTAGGTGCAACTTATGTGAGTGAATTCAGCTTGTGGACATTCACTGATCTGTATTCTTATAATATGTCATTTTTCTGTATATATATATATATATAAAATTCATTAATAAAGAGGTCTTATACATATATACACATATGTATATATATATATGTACTACTATGTATATATCTGTGTATTTCTATGTAGTAGAAGCAAATTATATTTCAGAAATTTTTTCTTTAAGTAAATTGTGCTTCTGAAACTCTGATGCACTTGACATTCTGCATTAGCAAATACATAAAATTATTAAAAGCACGAGTTGATTTTTATTAGCTGTACTTAAACAAATAACTCTAGAAATGGAACTGTGATTTGAGTAACATTCTCAGTGAACCATGGCAGTTTTTGGAACAGACCATTGAGGGAATACAGCAACGTCATCAGAAAAATTTATATAGATTTTTAATGGACACTTAAGAACACCTGCTTATTTTACTGAGCATCACAAATTTAATTAATTTGGGATAAGCCTATATTGTCTCACAACAATTTAAAGCTTCACAGTGTGATAAATTATTTTCAATTGGACTCCTGTTTTTATTGTAATGTATTCAGTTTATCAAAGAATTTTATCTTCAGTTGTTCTAAAATCAACTTATGTATCTTTTCCATCCCACCCGCAAAAGTATAGCAACAAAAACAGTCCTTTAATTACAGTGGTGGTCTATGGTCATGAAGGAATCTAGATAAAAGAATACAAAATATAAGACAACTGAAAACATTCTTCAAATAGAATCTTAAAAAGTTTTAATAAGTCAGTGTTCCTGTTTATATGATAAAGCTCTTTTCAAGGACTTCTTCAGCTTAATTTTAAAAGGTTGATCTTTCTTTTCCTTCATTTTCATAACTTAGTAATTGTTAAGTATAAGAGGCTCACCAAGAAATTTACAAATATTTTCCTTCACCTCTGATAGTTTAAGTGATCCAATCAAATCATCCTTAAATCATTCAGATAAATGTTTTTAAGCACAGTGGAAAAAGAATCAATACCAAGGTATTCAAATAAAAATTATTATTGTAGTTCATGTCCTGAGTATATGAGTCTGATAACATCATATGCAGCAGGACTATTCATTCTCATAACTTCCTTTCACACACAGAAAGCTCCACATATAAAGTAGAATGTACATAGAAATATTTTTAAGTGCAACGAGCAGTTCCTATTCAACCTGTCGCCCCCATCCAATGGGAAAAACGGTCAGGTGTATTTCCAGACACAGGAAACTCAGTGAGGCTTTCATCCTGTCAGTATTTTCATGGTGCAAACCACTTATGGGATGTCAAGGGCTTCAAGGGCTATATATTCTTAGATGTAATGGTGCTGTAGAGAAAGCACTTTGCATTTGAAGAAAACTATTTTATAAGTGATACACTTAAGACATCCATTTGTGGGTCAAGAAAATGGAAGAAACATATGTTTTTTTATATCTAACTCCAATCTAACTTGAACGTTTTAAAAAGCTATCCTTGATTTTCTTCCAAGGGTGGCCTTTCCTCACAACAGTACCTATACGTATCAGAACCTAACTCACACTATTCATCACAGAACATACAATCTGTACACTGCAGATTGCAAGGAAGTTCACTGCGAAAAGCAAAAAAGAACAAAGCTTCTTCACGAGATCCCAAAGATCCTGAAGCGAAGCCATTTCCACAATTAAGCAAAGCCCTAGGGATGTAATCTCAGCCAGGCCACAGGTATGTTACCCATGTCACTCTATTACCATTACCACCTCCAGAATGGGTGATAAAAAAACAGATTGAGAAAGATGTTCAAAAGTCCTTGCTTCTGTTAAAATACATTTTTAAGTCATAAATTGCATGGTAGAACTTTAAATATCACTCCAAGCACCTCAATTTCCTTCCACTAATGGAGATTATGCTGCTAATACTATTACATGTTAAATTTCCATCCATAATTGTTAACTATTAGATAATCATTGCAGGCTTAGTGGATAACGTCTTACACACGGAGCATATAATGAACACAAAGGCCGACAGGAAGGTGATGTGGAGAGACCGGCCAATGCATTCAGAGCTTTACTTAGCACTTATTTACTCAAATCAACTCAATGACTGAGATAACTGTCTCACTGAGATCTAGAAACAGATCCCATTACTCAAAGAAAACTATCCATAAACTCAGAAAAACCCAACCTGATTCCCTTGAGCAAGAAGCATTTTCAGCCTGGCTATTTCAGCTCGTAGCTCACGGATGAGTTTGACGTTGGCATCCTCATTAATGGTAGGCTTGTTGATGATGTTTTTGGCTCGATTTGCATAACGAAGAGTACTCAGGGTTTCTCCATAATTGACATCAGCAGGTGAAATGGCTGTGAAGAATGAATTCAAGAAATAATTTATCTAGTACTCCGTGTTTCATTTAACACAAAGTTGGGTTTGTAATTTAAAAGTCAGATTAACCCCAGGTCATTGGGTAGACTAAATATTCATTGCCACAGTAATGAATATTCAAAATTGTTTAAGATTTATAGAAAAGGTGCTCACTATACCAAATTAAATGTCATTTTGCTCTTCTTAAGCCTAGAATCAGACATCTAACAAACTCTAAAATGAAGTATGAGGTGCTCCACTGCAGTTTAGGGTGTTTTCTCTGTTGAAAACATGAAGAAGAGGATTTCAGATTTATAGTTCTCAGTATTAAATTGAAATTAAAATATTTTTTAAAGTTCTGGCAAAGCCTATCATGTGTAAAAATCCAAAGCATGATAATTTTTTAGAAGAGTCAGTATATCACTTACTTCTTTTCCTCTTAAAACTTTGGTTAATTACACATCCAGCACCACCACAACCTTTACGGCTTAAGTGACTATGTAACTGCATCTGGGTCTAAACTCCAGGGTAATTCCCTGCCTTCCAGAGTTAATGCACGGCACGGGGCGTGCAGAGGGCTGGAAGACAGGGGGAGACAAGATGGAGTGAGGGGGCAAGCCATTTTTGAGTTATCCTCAACAACTGTCTTCCCTTTGTACATTTTTTTCTTTGTTTTGCTGCTTCCAGTTAACTAGTGAAGATATAGAAATAAGGGATATTACCATTATCATTATTTCTGATACTTACTGGGGTTTTTTCTTCTCAAATCTTAATTTAAAATTCCACATTTACTGTTTTAAAGTAGAGTTATTTTTAAAAGGGTTATTTTTATTTTATGTCTCTATAATGATTTTCTCCTATGAGTTAGCAGAGTTAAAAGTTTCTATCCTGTACTGTAATCATAGAAAAGCTGAGAGCCATTCTGCATGTATCACAGCTTGCATAACCTGGAACATGGCAAGTTTATGTAGCTACGGATGAGGGAAAAGAGTTAATAATATGATACTATAGATTGGATCACTGTAAGTGATTTTTCTTTAAGGTAGAAAATCTGTTTGTTTTTTTTTAAGATAAAAAGACGCTTTTTCCTAATGAGACTCTTTAAACTTCAATATTGACAGTGAATTCACATGAAACACTGAGGAAAAGAACTTAAAATTCTTACTGGCAATCATGATAGTTTTAGAGTTTCCTCCAAGGCTATCTTTTAATAACCAAGTCAAAACAGAATCCCTGTAAGGCACAAAAACTTGCTTCTTCTTTAGAAGGGGGTTTGCTGCATCCTGAGATAAATCGGCTGCAGGGAAGAAAAAAAAGGACACCAGAATAAAGACAATCATTAAAGTTTTTTTTTCTCTAATTTGGCTTCAGAAAACCTTAAGGATGTTACCTCAGTTTATAACACATTCAACTTGATTGCTTTGTGCTAGTATAGTAGCATGAAGAGTAAGAGAATAAGGAAGAACAGGCAGGAGAAGGGAATAAGCCAACCTAAGGCAGAAATGACATTTCCCAGAGTCACGAGGGATTTGTTGATGTTGCCTCCTTCCTTCAGTCTAAGCCCGGTTGCACCGGTGGCATCTGCACGCTCGCTCCCGGCAAGATCGACGAGGTGGATCTTACTCACGGTTTCACAGGGCATCTCTGAATCAAATTTTGCCTGTAGCAAAACATAAAAGCAAAATCGGGAAGGTACAAAGAGCCTTGATGTTATTTATTATACAAATTCTACTTATTTTCCCCTCCTCACTGTGATCCCTCAGGGTAGGGTTTGTTTTTTTTATTTTGTTGTTTCAGTGGCCTTCTTACTGATTATAAAAACTTCCAAAATTAAATTCAATACAGCAGAAGCCTACCGTACACAATTCTTAAACTTTCTAGAGTATAATCCCATCATAAGTCACTCTCAGTCACTCTCAACAAAGGCTTACAGAGTCTCACTATGTCTCAAGGGGCACTCAATAAAGAAACACATAACTGGACAAACAACAACTTTTGTTCCCATCTAGAATCTCCAAAATATGATAAATGTAGACAAGCATGTAAAAGATCATTGGACCTTATTCAATGTTAAAATGTTCATATCACAAATTATAAGAAGTACAGAATATTGTACTCCTTAATTCTGAATTCTACCAAAAGTTTACTCTCTCAAACTGAACCACAAGCCAAAATGTAATTACCATGTTTTGAAAGAAATATAAAGCCTCTCAGAAACTAGGGATGGCCATGTGCTGATCCACAATAACCAGCAAGCAGGAGAAAAACCAGTAACTAGAGTAAATCAAAAGTAAATGTCTAACAAATGGCAAATGTGCAGAATTTACCAGGAGTTGTCCTGCTCGACCTTGGAGAATTTTTTTCATTTTCTCTGCTGTCTGACATCCCTCATTAATAAAATGCTGTCTTCCTGGATATGATGTGTTCAGTAGTTAACACAGGCCAGGATATTCCCAAGCTCTGAACAGTGCTTAGCCTCTGAGAGGACCCTACATTCTTGTATTCATCTATTCTGTGGGCCTAGATGTTATAATCTTTATGCTCAATAATTTCCACACATATTCAAAAGGCCTCCACCTCTTCATTAGAATGAATTCTTACATCAGTACTTAAAAATGTTTGCTGTCCTTCAGTATCATTCTAATAATCATAATCAACATTGTGGGGTGAGTTCCATGGAGTGATAATGTACCACAATGAGTTACTCACTTTGGCCTCCCGCTGGTCTGACTTGCAATCCATTATCTCCCATAGAGCTTGGAACAACGAAAACTTTTGCTTAATTAAGCTCAAAGCAAGTTTTTGGGTTTTTTTTATGTCTAGAACAGGGCAGAGAACTACTAAATATTTCTTAAGGGTGCACATCAGGACATTTCAAATTACTGTAGCTACAGAGAAATTCAGCACACCGCACATGTTCAACTCTAATTAACAAGCAAATGACAGTCAGTACCTCTGCCTGCTGCTGCTCCCGGTTCAACAGTGATCAGTCCCTACTGGTGCCATCAGCAAGTGAAAACCTCTGGGATGAGCCAGCCGACCAGCCCCACAGCTGCCCTTACCTGAGTGAACTTGATGGTGAAGATGGCATGAGACCTGCTACTGACGTCATTCATCCCAGTCGCTGCTGTGGTGCGAAGGATATTTCCTGCATCCATAAGTTCTTCTACGTCACCGTAGTTCTGTACTAAATGTTTTGATAAATCTGAAGAAAAATGGGAGGGTGGTGAAGAAATCTTCCCAATAAATAATCAAGAGAATACGAAGTTAACCAGTATGAAGTAACAAAGGGCTGTACAAATCTGTTGACTTGTTTAAAGATCCTACTAATCCTTATATTGTGGTAGTTTGTAACGTACAGGTGGAGGGAGCTGCCTGCCTGGGATCAATTCCCAGCTCTGCTGTTAGTAGTGGACTCTCAATGGTAATGAACAAATCAGTTAACATTACTGAGCATACCTATCACAAAGAGCATTTAAATGTAAGCTACTATCACCCTCATTAGCATTAATCACAACCAAGGAAATGAAAACACTACTTTCATGCAAAACCCGAAAGCATTTTTTTAAATCCTTCAAAAAAATCTCTGTGTCCATTTCTTGGGAACATTCATATGGTTCTAAAGTCAAAGGCTACAAAAGGCATACTGTGTAAAGGGTCTCTCCCCCAACCCCATCCTATAACCCACCCCATTTCCCCTTCTGCAGGCAACCCAACATTAATTTCTTCATACCGTTCTAGAAATAATCCATATGTATACAGGCAATTACATTTATGTAAGACCATTGTCTTTCCCCTTTCATACATGGCAGTACACTATAAACTACGCTATAAACACTGTTTGCATCATGCTTTATTCTATGTAATATATTAAAGAATACTCTGTATTGTTGAGGTGATTATTTACTCATTTTCTCATTTTCATGCTGCAGAGTACTGTATGTATGTACCATAACCAATTTAACCAGTCTCCTATTGAAACTATGGAAGTTGTTCATATTTTGTTTCCAATGACATGTACCACTGCTACAAAAATACGTATCTTTTCAAGTATGTGAGAATATTTCTGCAGAATAAATTCTTAAGAGATGGAATTGCTAGATCAAAGCGCATTTGAAATTTGTTAGATATTGAAAAATTTTACTCCACAGAAGGCAGTTTATACCCAGCATAGCAACATATAAGACTACTTGTCTCACAACATTGTCTTAATAGGCTTACTTATATCTGCCAGGGGTAGATAACAAAAGCTCTTTTGGAGAATTTTTATTTTACTTTTCTCTAAATTTGAGTGAGGCTGAGCAGTTTTTCCTCCATTTAAATATCACCTGTATTTCCATTTCTGTGAATAGTCTATTCATATCCTTTGTTCATTTTTCTACTTGGTTGCCAGATCTGTCCTTATTGGTTTACAGGAGCTCTTTATCTATTAGGGAAATTAGTCCTTTGCTGTTTAATTGTTCCCCACCTTATTGTTGTCTTTTTACTTTGCTTATGATGTTTCTGGAAAGTCCAGCTTTTTTTAATTTCAAATATTTCAGAATTTCAAAAAAGTTTTTTTTATTTCCAATTTAACACTTTAATTTCATGGTTTCTGAGTTTTAAATAAAATTTTTAAAAGTCTTCCCTTCTCCAAGTTTCTGGAAAAAAGTAACCCATGGTTTCTTAGTTATTTTATAGTCACTTTTTACATTTAAGTCTTTGATCCATTGCCATTTATCCTGGTGTAAAAATCTGAGCTATGGTACCAATTTACTTTTTTTTCTCCCAGACAATTTAATAACCATCTTCCCCCAATGTCTGAGCAATAGATTTATGAGAATCTAAATCCCCTTAGGTGTCTATTTATCAGGTTCTGGATATTTTACCCTGTTTGATTATTCTGCCTCTTCATAAACCAGTTTATAATATGTTCTAACATCTGATATACAAAGGGAAAACATAAAGGCACAGTTAGGCTTAAAACTATTAACAATATAACTACTCCACATACCACAAAGCAAACACACAGTGATACACTTACTTTGGGCACACAAAGCATAAGTTCAAATGGAAATTTAATAAGATGCAGATGGGATCATGATGGTACACCTGATATCCAGGTAAGAAAGACAACTGAAGCAGGAACATCCTTAAAACTATGACCAGTTCTCAGCCTTCCTTCGGACCAGGCACACATGAAGGACAACAGCCACATGAAAGCATTCCTCTGTGTGCAATTACTACTGGCTAGCCAAAGCTCACTGCCTTATGCAGAATCCTTAACCTATCATCACTTGTGACATGCCTCACAAGTGACTATGAAGCAGCTAGTTCATCACAACATAAATGCTGAGAAACAGCACAGGAAATTCTGTAAACACTCCTCTCAAAGGGGAAGAGGTCTTAAATCTCTTATGGTCACATGCTACCATTAAGGTCAGTAAAATTATACTGCTAAAATGCAATACCATTAAAACAGACAGGTTATACAGTGGCTTATCTTGCCTGAGCACATTAGAAAACAAATTTCCAGAGAATTCTTAAAGCCTAAGGAAATCTACTGACAAGCTCCACAAAATCAGTAAATGCCCAGCAAAGTATAAATTCCTTAAATATACATTGTATAGTGCCAGCATGTATAATTTTTCCTGTAATAAAATACAAAATATAAATTTCTAAAATCTTGCATAATCCTACATTTTCTTCTCTGAAACTATCATTTTTGCACACATTCCCAAGAAGAACAGGGTTGTGAAATATTCATTCTTACCCTCAACATAAGGTCCTTCTCTTGGGTGCTCACGGACTCTTAAATTGAAGGTTTTGGATGACTTCCGCCTAAGAAGATCTCTCACACGTTCATTATAAATTTCTAAGTAGCTAAAATTTCAAATAGAATTGAATTCAGTAAAATGACTTCAGACATTAATAGCAATAACAACTGCAATGTTAACAGCACCAACACACATTGACGGGTGGAACCTGTGTATAGGTACTATGCTAAACCCTTTACCTGGATTACCCCCATTCAATGCCCACACAGCCCAAAGGCAGGTACTACTATTCTCCCCATTTTATAGGTTAGGTAACAGGTCTGGAGTGATTTAAATAGCTTGTCAAAGCCACACAGTCATGAGAACCCGTGATGGCCACGTCTCCCTCCAAACCACCGACAACACTGGCTCCCCACACAGGCTTGGTTTCAAGGAGGAAAAAACACCTCAAGCAACCAGATTTACTTAAAGATAAGTTTTATAGTGATCCTACCCACAGGAAGAATAACATAAACCTTATTCAGCTAAAAGAATAAGGCAAGTGACTTTGGTACAGAGTGAAAAGCCAATAGTTCATGCCATTTGAGATAAACATCCTACATTAAGGTTTCTGATTAAGCTGGAGTTTTTCTACCAGCCTCCCAAGCCCTAAACCAAACTACCCAAGAGAGTCACTGAAAACATATGCGAAAGCTTTACTTCCAACTACCACAGTACAGGAGGGGAAAAACGCAGACTCTCCCTTCAGGAATCCAAAGGCTTCATCCATTCCTCATGCCTGTCACTCAGGACACCAGCCCTACCTGACTTCAGTTCGGAAAGATGCTTCATCCCACCTGGTGGTTTCATTTATCTGACTGAAGAGTCCTTCACAGATACGAGGTATTAAGCCAGAATCGCCCTGCAGTGGACAGGAGAAATGCCACAGCTGTCAACTTGAAGTAAAGGCAAACAACTGAATTTTCAATCATTGGAGGGGACTTCAAGGGGCATACATGCCAACTCCAGGCCAGCCACCCCAGGGCCCAACACACCCTTTACCCCCTCCAGTATTGCTTTCTGCTCTCTGAAATGAGAGGACTGAGCTCTCCAATTTCGACAGGATGGGACTCTGGTAACATAACAGTAATCAGCTCTTAAATGACTTATTCTCTAACTTTCAAACACAACAGTCTACAGCTATAAAACAAGTGTTAAAAATCTGGTTTGGTCAAATGACCAAGGAAGGTGAAATATATACTGGGCAGAAAAAAACACCAACAAAACCTTAGTAATTCCTCAAAGTACTTATAACTGTCTTAAAGCTTAGATGACAAGACCACATCAGCACACACAGTAGAACCCACCTTGGATGCACTGACCCCTACCACTGGCCCTCCTAGACAGGAAGACTTTAATATACATCATATTACCTATGTACCTGGGCATAATCAGTAATATTCATGTTTCGGTTAGTATTTACAAGCTGATGAACCTCAGAATGATACTAAATATGACACAAAATACTGTTGTTAGGAAACCAAAACTTCATTTTCTTGTGAAGGTCCTTCCTACCTTTACCGAAACCCCACCCAAAAAAGAAAAGAAGTACCATCACAGCTTTAAGATAAATTTGTTTCCTTATACCATTAATTCAATACCAATTCCTTTCAAAGAAAAATGAACCTTTCACTATACTTTTTCTTCTTACTTTAAAAAATAACGAAGAATACCCAGCCTATTCAACAGGAACTGCTCTGTGGGGTCGTCGTGTCCATGGTGGGACCTTATCAGGCCCTCAGGAATGTTCGGAGAAAATCAGTTGTCATTTATGAGTGCTTCTCATAACTTACATAAAATAGCTACTGGGGAATCAACATGCAAATGTCATTTGCAATTTTTAGACAAGGCTTTCTTTTCAAAGGCACAGCAAGAAAACAGTAAGACAGAAATAATGATAAAAGGAAACATGAAACTCTTTGAATTATCTATTTGTTCTTCTATTTACTCAATGTCTACTTTTTGGCATTGAAGATTCACAGCACAGCACTTACCTACTTTTTCTATAAAGGAAAAGCCTGGACTTAAGAAGCCAGGTCACATTTGAAATACTTTCATCTTGAAAGACCAAACTTCCTTTAATGCACTATTACTTCCATGCACCAGCAAACCTTTAGCATTAAAGAAACCACCGTGCCTGACAGCAGGAAGTCCTGTGATCCTCTGCTAGTCTGTCTACATCGAGAACATGTTCCAGGTCTGAGAGTCAATGAACAGAGTTTTCACTATGACATAAGAAAAGTGAAACATACAAGCACTATCCTTACCTGGATAAAAGACATAACAAGATAAAGTTTAGGCAATAATGTCTAGTTTGTACTCCTCCATATTTTGGGGCAAGCATAACTTCAATGTTTGTCAATCTATATAGCATAACTACTAAACTCTATATACTATGTTTATATTTAAATTGACTCTATGTGAACTATATAATTCTCTTTTTATGTATTTTCTAGATTTATATAGTACCTTTTCACCCAAGAGATTTTTTTTTTTACATTTTTCTTGGGGAAAAATGTTTTAAATAGTTTTAAAATGAACAGAGTTCAGTAATTCTATTCAAACTGTTGTGTTGGCAGAAAAGAAGAATAAATTACTTGTGGGCCCAGCATACTTTTTGATAAGATTACAAAGCCTTTAAAAATGGAAAATGAACTGAGACTTTCATCCATTATTCATGCTTATAAACTTAAAACTACTTCTAATTTAAAATATCTCAAAGGAAATTTAGTCCAACTTATTACTGAGTTTTATCTTAATGTTAAAGACTGATCAGAACATGAAAAGAAAGTTAGTACAGACCAAGTCGATAAAAGAGATAATTCTATCAGTCCAAAGAGAGATAATGAGAAATATTTTTTCCCACATGGTGTAAAATGACGTACAGAATTTCCCATCATAGTGTATGACTTTCCAGATCCAGTCTGCCCATATGCAAAGACACAAGCATTATAACCTTCAAATGCAGACTTCACAACATCTGTGCCGAGGGTTTTGAAAACCTGAAAGCCAAAAAAAGAATAAAACACAGAAAAGATACAATTACCATCAATTTTAATAAAATTCCCTTCAGTGTTGACAGTATTATTGAATTGTACTTTCACCTCATAAGGAAAACACCGTGTAAGTAAATCACTGTAGGACCATTAACAACAGAGTATGCATGTACCCATTTTTAACCAAAAAGAATGTTTTTAAGGAAGCAAAAAGCAACCCCAGCCTTTCTCCTACTTCACAAAAAATTCCTGAAATATAAAAATGCAAACAAGGCAAAGTGATAATCATGTCTATAAGCAAAGATGGTTTTAAAGCATGATGATTTACCATTTCAGAATTAAATACGGTTATTCATGCTATCAGACCTTCCAGAAACTATTCAAAACCTGAAAGTCACAGCAGCTGTTAAGTTATTGCCCAAAGCATGCCAAATTGATGCCAGAATTGTAAGGGTGTAGCTATTCATCAAAATATCTCTGGACATTCTCAGAGAGTAGACGATGGGTGGGTACAGGTGAGACTAGGCTGGCTGGGCTACCCCAAGTCAGAGTCCAGGTGCTTCTTCCTCCCTGGATATTTGCCCAGGAATAGAGAAGGTGGGAGACCAGCTGGGCCTGGGGTTCCACCTACAATGGCCCGAGTCCATGTCTGCTGCACCACTTAATTGCCACAGGACACTCTGGAGACTGAAAGAGGGGGAAGGACAAATATTTCATCCAGAAATGATGTAACTGAGGCAAACCAAGATGCATAGTCATCCTGGTTACACCCGGCGGGAACGGGACCGAACAAAGCTTTCCAAACCCCAGCAAGCCTTCAATGCTCTCCCTGCCCTCACAGACCAACCAGGACACCAGGGGCATGTAAAACACTCCCTGGCTTTAGGAATGAGGCACAGCACAGCTGACAATGTATTAGGGAAAGGCAGGGTGATCAGGGTCGCCGCTTAAGCTCAGAGACAGGCACTGCTCTGTGGGGTCGCCGTGTCCAAGGTGGGGCCTCACCAGGCCCTCAGGAAGTGTTCAGTTTCTGGGAGTGATGCCAGAATAGCCAACTCAAGCCCCGTCATTCCCCCTGCATGGATGGGAGGGGGCACAACACCCGCTGCCAAGTTAGGGCTGATCAACATGGGCCATCTCGATCTCACCTCCACATAAACCATCCCTGCTAGTAACCAGCTTGTCACAAGAAGAGAGACCACTTCAGCTTTCTTCAGGCATCATACTCCCATCCTCCTGTTCCAACTTTGTTTCTTTCCTCTCCTCAAAGATTTATAAACTATTGTTTCACTCTACTCACACCCACAAAGGAGGAATCTCCTTCATTCTGGGCTAATTTTTATCCATTTCAGCTTTAGGAGCTGATATTTTCTAATCTTATTCTCAAATTCCCATGACGTACTCAACTCTCAACACTAACCGCAGCTCACCTGTGTTTATGACTTAATCCTCATAAAGACATGCAGGGTGGACAGTGTCACTAGATCCATCTGTTGGGGAGAGGCCGGTCAGTGGGCACACATGGTGAGCGGCACACTTGGGATCTACACCCAGGCCTTTCTGACCCCCAAGCCTACACTTCTACAGGCCTCATAGCTGCATCCTCTTTCCACACCCTCAATCGACATGAACCACAAGGCCCAGCCCTACCTAGAAGGTGCTCGCCCCACAAAGTTCTGTGAAGAAGCCAAAGCCAGGAATCCCAGAGAGACCCAAGGGTCCCAGCCTGCATGCCTCAGGTCCATTTTCACCAGTGTATGTGGGACAGGAGGGAAAACTCTTAATATTTCTTCAGTTCTCTCTGATTAAACAAAAGACAAGAGGCATATACCATTTTTACCATTCCACAGAGTCACTTTCCCAAAGAACAGAGGAAGGATCTTCTCTCCTACTTTTGACTGGGGCTAAAAGAAGGTCATAGAAAATATTTAAACAAAACCCAAAGTTTTCAAAATGAAATTCTTCCCTAGGATTAAAATGCACACCCACCACTTTACTATTACTTTATTTTCCAGAAAGCTAACTTAGGTGGAGTTCCCTGACAGGTTCAGGAGGCCCCCGGGAGCTGGAGCTAGTACACAAGATGGCAAAATGAGCCTAGAAAATGCAGGTCTGGAGGCGCTGAGACCCAGGCCTGGCTCGGTCTCAGCTTCTGGTAGCCCACCCGGAGTTGGCTGGGGACCCAGAAGAACAGCAGGACACTGTCCACATCTCCAGGTTTTTGGCAAGGAAAACAGGCTCCCCCACTGCCAGGGTGGGGAGGGAAAGCCTGCTTCCCCTCACACACTGGCATCAAACCCCGCTGAGACCCTCACCTGGCCAGGCCCCCCCAAACCACCTTGCTGCTTGCCCAAGCACAGACTTCAAAGCTGATTTCCACAGTAATCCAAGGCATTGTAGGCCCTCACCTGAGGGTAACTATCCACAAGAGGGCACTGTTAGAGCAAAAGACTCCATCCAGGGGTCACCTGGGAGATGGCAGGTTTCACATTTCTCCACGGTGGAATCACTGAACAGGTTTTGCGAGATCAAAGCCTCCCTTTGGAGTTCTGAAGAACTGTTATGAAAATTGGACCTTACTGAATGGTCTTTAATTTACATGAGGGTGGACTTAAAATGGCTCATTGATTTTTTTCTAACTCTAAAGTTAATTTGGTAGGAAGAAACATTAATGGTCATCCTGCCTGGTATTTGACATTTTGGGAAACTTGACTTGAACTGCAGTAGTAGGCATGATGTATTTGCTCAAAAATGCCTTCACATTCAAACGATTAAAAGAAGAAGATGGCAACCAACATCATGTTACGCTTACCTCTTCCCCTGTTTATAACAATCTGTCAGCGCAATTCCTGGGTCAGATACGGCAGCACAAAAATGCGTCAATAGTCAAAATTGAAGCTCTTTTTAGTAACAACAGCTATTAAAATTAAGAATGCAAAAAGATTACCTTCTCTTTAACAGAGTGTTCAGAAATACACATTTTCCAGTATCTGTGCTAGTTTTGTTAGCATACGGTTCTAACAGAAAGTAGTGTTTACTAACATATCTCAAGGTGTTTTAGTTTTATAAATGCAACAGTCCCAGGTTATTTATACAGCCAAAGACCTCACAGCACTTGAGAAAAGACTGCACACACACCTGTAGCATGAAAACTGTCCTTATCAGTTGAAAGCTTTTCAGAATCTATAACTATTTTTAAAACTCTGGGCATGTATTTTTAATCTCCAGAATAGCTAAACTTGTTCCTGCTTCCCTGATCTTGATCCTTACATAGAACCTAGAAAATGTCACTTGTTCCCATAAATTAACCACCATCTGTAAACACCTTCTTCCAGTCAGCAAATATTGACTGAGCAACTCCAGTGAGCAGGCTCTGCTGTCACCCACCATTCTACACCTCTGTCCCTGGTCTTTACACCTGCACAGCCCTCTATCCCCAAAGGGCCTCCAGTTCAAGTTAAATACTGGGGAAACCCAGCCTCTCACTAGGTAACTCAGAAGTAGAGGCCCTCATGACTCTTCCTTCATCCTCCATTGAAGACATTCTGAAGACTGTACAATGACCTGGCTTTTCCCTTAACAAGTTGTCTTGTACCTGCCACTTCACTTCCCTTCCTGCATCAAAGCTAAAACTGGATTCCAATGTAACATCTGATTCCTCACCAGTTTCCTAGCTACCAGTGTTGACTAGTTCAGTTACCTCAACACAGAAGTCACCTCCACTACTCACTCATTTGACTTATTCATTCAACAGGGCTGCCCTCTCCACCTGCCATTCAGAACACACCAACCCCAAGACCTCCCAGTGTCATCCCTATTGCCCTATCCATCAGCCCCAGGATCTCAGTTCTGCTACTATTAAGAAGATTAGGTCTATGGATTTGAGCAAGCTATTTAGCTCACTGAGTCTCTTCAACAAAGAATGAAGTTAAGTTGACCTCATTTGTTTCTTGTGAGGATTAACGAGACAGTGGAAAGGAGTCCCCAGCAGAGTTTCTGACACAGTGCAAACTCAAAGCAACGTTAGTCACCTTTCCTCTCCTGACCCCTTTCATACCAGGCATCTCATCTCGCTTTATAGCTCCTATTTTCAGAGCTGTTGTCCTTCCTATTTTCCCAGATGCTGAATCAGCATCTTCTGCGTCCAATCACTCCAGTCCTCTCCTCTGAACAACTTCTCTTCGTTCACAGCCTATGTTAACTCGAACACTTAACACTGCCTCAGGAAGCCAGTCTCCTCCACAAACCACTTCTAAACCAACTACATTTCTCAGATGTTAAGGTGTGGGTATGTCACCTGGGGATCTTGCTAAAAACACAGTTTGATTCAGTAGGTCTAGAATAAGTCTTGAGCGTCTGCACTTCTAACATATTCCCAAGCAATGCCAATAATTCTGGCATGTAGACACATTATATTGCAAGAAACTAGACATTACCACTTCAAGTTCTATTGCTTGGATTATGACCTGGGGCACACAGAACAGAAATTCTTAACCTCGTTTTAACACAGGAGATGTGAAGCACTGTATCTAAAGAAGCTACTAACAAGCTACAAAAAAGTACATGCAGCAGGTGTGCTTCCCATCACCCCACTAGGCTCCAACACCCAGCTTGTCCCACCCAGGGGAACACACTTGTCCTTCTGCTCTCTTGAAATGTCAACCTGCAATAGTCTCCTGGAGGCTCTCTGGGTCTGTTCTCATCATGTCTGGGTCAGTCCTTATCATGTCTACATTTCAGACCATAAAAACCTACAGTACAGGTTTCCTGGAAAAATTTCAGCTTCAATCTAGGTTCTAGAAAGATTCAGACAAAAGGCTCTTTCTAGAATCCTTTTTTCTAGAACCTGTAACGATCTACTCCAGCAAGGGAAGTGTGACAGGTTTGAAATCTACCTCCTAAAGCTCTCTATCACAGCGGGACCTAAGGCTTTGTGGCTTATTGCTGGGTTATGAGACATATTAATATGCCCCCAAAAATATCTAATTTGCAGAGCTCCTTCAAAACAGTAGTCATGTCCAAATTTTGAAATGGAAGTTATGATCATCATGCTCAAAAACAAAAATCAGTCATTTGGGGACTGAATTCTTCTCAGACTTAAGATAAATGGTGCTGCATAACAACCAAAAAGCTAAGTTAGCAAGGCTAATTTTATATAAATCATATTGAGAAAAAAAGTTAGCAAGATGTTTTAGCAAAAAATGCAGAAAGACTTTTAGGGTGGGCATGTTTTTCTCAATATGAAAATAAATCCAAGTAAAGATTTTGAACATATCATACCATTTCTTGTGAAACATAATCTGGACTTTTGTTATCAGCAGAATAAAAAGAAAAGTCATATGTGAAGGTCTTGGTTCTTTCTCTTCCTGAGTCCCCAGTCCCTCCTTCTGGTACCTAGAGAGAGATGAATATGATAACAATGTAAGAGAACAATAATAATAATAATGTACAGAGCATATGACAAGTGATCCATCCAATTCAAGGGAAAAAAACTTCATAGAAAATATACAATGATCGTCAGTTTTTGTATTTACACCACACTTAAGTCCTTCTGAGCTACACACACACACACACACACACACACACACACACACAGATAAAACCTAAACTCCTCTCAGCAATCCAGGCCCTCTAGACATGACCCCTTTTACCATGATTACCTTACATGAACCCAGCATTGCAGCCAGACTATTTTTTTCCTGGTTTCAATGCTTTTTACTGCTCCCTCCACCTTAAACCACCAGAGTCGCAGTCTGCACAGGCTCCAGGGGTGCTATTCACGTGCATTGTGATATGACTGCAGTCCCCTAGAGTTGTGCAATTTTGTGACCCCACTTAAAACTCCAGGTCAGATGCTTCCTCTTCCATGAAGCTCCCTTTGGGCACTCCATCCAGAAGTGATTTCCCATAACTCTGAGAGACTAGACTCTCCCAGACATCTACTGAAGATGTCAGCACATATCTTGTCTACCTTGCTGTCACCTACGTTGAACCAGAAACATGTCTTAGCATTGTCTTATGCCACAAGCTTCACCAGTTCCCTGGATACATGCTGAGTAAGTTTAATGAGCATCATATTTTAAAACATAATTTGGATACTATAAAGAAAAAATGTTAAGGCTCTTATTAGAAAAATGTTAAAAATATGGGCATGTATTCTGGTTATTTCAGAGGAGGAAATATTCCAAAAACTCAAAAAGCAACTTTGTAATTAAGGGAAATTGATTCCATAAGCACAAAGGAAGGAGATTCATCCAAGGCCAAGGGTCTCTTCACTCTGTTTCAGTGAATAGTTTTTTAATGGTCAAACCTTTCCTGAAGCACTGTGAGCACACATAAAGCAAAGGCGACCGGCAGCAGAGAATGGCCAGAGGACGGTCATGTGACAGCAAAACATGAGACGTGAGAGGCCACAGGAGGGAAAACTAGGCATAGGCCAGACAAATCTCGAAAGTCAAGGATTGCGGTCAGTGGAGAAAGAAAGACATTCCACCAGAGAATGCATCAGGCAAAGGTGCACCAAAGCCTCAAAGAAAGCCTGTGAAATTATCCAGGATATGGCCCACTTGGAAGACAGGAGCATTCCCAGTTTCTATCACTGGAGATCAGGTTGCACTACTTTGAAATTGGATTCAGTATCCAGTTACTTGAGCTATAAATTAACAGAAATCCACACAAACTGATCGGCATGTGGCTATGGAGCAATAGGCCTCAGAAATCCAAACCTCTAAGTTAATGAAAAACACAGAAGAAAAAAGGGGCTGAGTCCATTAATCACTTCATTTCTTTATTATTAATTTTACACTCTTATTTCCCTGCTAAGTGAAAAGTAATCAGGGTCCTTAACAAAGTCACAAAGAAACAAACAAGGTATTTTACATGCAAAAGGAAGAACTTCCATCTTAGAAAATTCTGATTTTTTAAATTTATTTTTTATTTTTTCAGAAAAACAATTTAGGCTTTTTTTTTTTATCTTTCCTCTCCTTGGTTCTGAATAAAAATATCAGCTCCTCTTGCAAAGTTTACAAAACATGGCTGTTTTCATTTAAAAACAAAAACAAATCTATAGCAAAAGATTATTTAATGATTCACAGAACACAGCCAATTGCCAGAAGAAGGATCCATGGCAGGACACTGGACGAAAATACCTACATCTGAGCTAAACCCATGAGCTCCTGTAATACAGCCACAACCGGTGTCTGGCTTTGAGATCCAATGAACCCAGGGTGGCCACCAACACCCTTTGGCTTCTCACTGAGCCCATGCCAAGGGCAAGTTGATGAGGCTAATTTAACTGAGGAAGGAAGGGTGCAAAAATGGCATATGTGTTGTATTTCCCCACAAGTCATTTTGACAATAAAAACAGCAATGGAGGCTCCTAGAACTGGAGCAAGGCCATACTACTTGCCTTTAAGTTTGTGATTGTTGTTTTGCTTTTCTCCATTTGAATAATGAATTTGGCTTCCAAGTCCTTTTCCCTGCAACACAAATAATTTAGTATTGGTTAAGAGACAAAAGACAGTGTTTAAAAAATTTGTTTTATTTACTTTTTACAAATGGGGGTTTGTCTTTAAATGGCACCTGAAATACAATCTGATACTGCTCCTCTCAAACTCATATAAATATAGCAACACCCAAAACAGATAAAAACCTAATACTGACAAATAATACATGGTCTAAACCTAATACTGACAAATAATACATGGTCTAAACCTGGAAAAATGTCTAAAGTTATAAGCCAAAAGTTTAAATGAAATGACAGAGACCATGGAGGTGGGACTCATGAACAAAGCAGCCTCACCCACCTGGTTATAAAAAGAACAACCCTGTATCCCTTTGCCCAGGATGAGAATGAGGAAGACAACTAGAGTGGTCACAGCCAGGTGCTGCTTCTAGAAGCACCATGGAACAGCCCCCTCCTCCCATCTTTCTACATCCATTCAAAAACTGCAATTCCTAGAAAAGAGCAGAACAGGAAGTCACGAGAACTCCTCAAAAGCATAGTTCTCTGGAATAAATGCCCACACATCTACACAGTGGAGTGTTACGTAAAGATCTGATGGATGTACTGCTATGGGGTGGCACCCATCCAGGATAGAGCCAAGTAGGGAATGCAAGGTGGAGAAAAGCATGCAGAGCAAGCTACTACCTATATTTGAAGATAAAAAGGATAAATCGATGTATTTTTCAAAAGGTTACCTATGGAGAAAGAAGAAAACAGAGTGGAGGGGACAGGGATAGAAGCTAGATTTCTAAAAAAGTACCTCAATCTTTAAATCATCTCTAGAATGAGGAAACTAATATACACAAAAATGAGACATTTTAAAAATAACCTAAAACACATAACTTGAAGCATATGAACCTATGATCACACAAGAAATGATTTCAACTGTTGCTATATGGAAGGGTCTGACTGTATAATGTAGTGAGGTAATAGCCTACAGAGAAAAAGAACTATACAGAACTTTTACAGCATTTTCAGTGATCATATTTTTGGTAGTAAAGAAAGTTTTATTGTTCTGATATTTCTGTTTGCATACTATGGGACAATATATAGGAATTATGTTGGTGCCATTGAGAACCAAGGTTTCTGATACAAACATAATATTGATGAAGTTACATAAAAACTCTGTGATCCTGAATCTGAATGGGAAATACTAGCATGAACTTTCTCTGAAATTAGAAAAAAAAACCTTCAGTTTGTCCTTTGAAAAGGCCCAAAATCTTAAGCCCAATTATAGTCCCTAATACCAGTTTTTGCTAAAGTATGTCAGAGCTCTTTGGAGAAAGATTCAATCAAAGTATCGGAACCATCCCCTCATACAGGAAAGCAGGAACACTTGGGTATCACAGGCAACTTCGAAGTGGCTCCTGATGATCTCAGCCTCCAGGTGTAGTGCCCTTGCGTGAGCCCCTCCCCTGGAGACGGGGCTGGACCTAGTGACTCACCTCTAAGACTGGAACACTAATGCATCCAAAGGGAGGGTCTGTCACTTCCAAGTTTGGGTTACAAAAAGACTCTGACTTCTGACTTGCTGGCTCTCCTGTGTGTCTATCAGAGCCCTGGCAGTGGGGACAATCAGCTGCCACATTGCTGGGTGCCTTCTGGAGAGACCCACATAGCAAGGAACTGAAGCTGCCATCAGTCACATGGGTGAGCTTGGAAGTACCCTCCCACCTGGATGGAGGGACCTGGACTGCAGGCTTCAGAGAGACCCTGAGTAGGGGGACCAGGTAAACCCCACCCAGTCTCCTGGCTCACAGGAACTATGTGATAATAGATGTTGTCTTAAGCCTCTACGTTTTGGGGTAATTCGTTATACAGTGAGAAAAAACTGATACAAGAGCCATGACAAAAGGACGCAGGAGTCAACCTGAGTAAGTTCCTGCCAGCAGATAGTAAGTGCAACAGACTGAAACACATGGGAATGCATATTTATATTAATTCATAATTAAAAACTAAAAACTGAATGATCCCCTTTGGAGAATCAAAAGAATCACCTCATTGTTTTGCAAACTAGTAAATCTGAAGGGAAAGAATCAAATACTTAAGAATGAAATTATATTATGTCTAGGATTTACTTAAAAATAATTTCAGGGTCGGGGAACCAGCTGGGGGGTAGCATCTTAGCCACCTCAGGATAGTGACAAAATAAAATCCGAACAGAACAATTAAACCTGAAGAGTATATGGTACTAAACACTATTCAAGAACTACAGTGGATTCCCACAACCTGGTTTAACTTTTCCAAGCCAGTGTATAGAAGACAAGTAGATCTGGATGAACCCAACAATGGTATAAAAGACAGACAGGTAAATGAAGTCCCTCCCATGTGTGAGGAGATTCCACTCCAGTCCACCAGGTCTTAGGCAGCAGCTCCAATGTGGACACAAAAGTGAGAAAGGCCAGGGACACCCTGTATTCACGTGGCCATAAAAGAAATACTTCATAGCATTACCCCCTTTTATACAGCATTCACTACCAAAGTGTATCATGCCCAGCGAGAGAACCACGTGGATGGGTTCCATTAATAGCCACGGACTAGAACATCTCAGTCCCTCCTATTCCCACATCGGTCATTTCTGACACTCACTGGCCTACATTCACTTTATAACCACTATTATCAACAAATACCTGTGGGGAGCACAAAATTATCCAGGGATCTAAGAAGACTAGAAGTGACCACAATAGGTGCTCACACTACTTGCCAATTCTTATAAACCATGAAGGAATGGAGCTCATACTATGCCCACTATTCTTATTGGACGCCAGAAGTTAAGTAATTCCAAGGCTCAGAGCCCTATACCTTTGGAAGAGCTCCATTTAAAGGGTCCTCACATAGTACTTTCCTGGTGTCAAATGAACATCCACTCCATAAAAATACTAGGGAAGATATGACCTGAAAGACCACTCTGTAATGGGCGTCTTTCCATTAGCCACTTCTGAAATCTAAACTGAAGATGCCAGGGAGTTTCAAAGGCTCAGAACCTTGAAATCACATCACTGGGGTGTGCCGGTGGGGAAGGAGGAAAGGTGGCAAGCTCAGTGTTCTGAGGGGACATAGCTCTCTTCAGTCTCTCAAAGAGCTCTGGGCCCCAAAAGCTAGGAACCCAGCTCAGACCCTTGTTACTCAAAATGCAGTCCAGAAACCAGCAGTATTAGCAGTCCTCGGGGGCTTCTTAGAAAAGGAGGGCTCTCAGGCCCCACCACAGACCTACTAAACGGGTGCCTGGATTGTAACAGGAGCCCCAAATGATCCCAATTAATGGTAACTTTTACAAAGCACTGTTCAGACATTACCTTAATATGATATTGATATCCAGCCTTACATTTACTCTCATGAAACAAACTCCATAATGTCATCTATCTCATACACTGGGAAACTCACTGCCTTTGACCTTTAAATTTTAATTAAAAAACTGAACAGCAGAATATGGATATAACCTATGTCAGCTGACACTATCTCTACTCTGTCCTCGTAACAATGGCTTTGCCCAAAAGCAATAAAAGTCTGACTTAACGGCAACTAAGAAGTCATACTAGTGTCACGGCATCCAGCAGCCTGCCAAGCTACCAGCCTCTAGCCCTTTCTATGCCAGGCTGCTTCTCAATATCAATGGAAGCTTGCTGTCAACAGCTTAAACTCATCTAAAAAATAATAATAAGTATAAAGGAATACTTGAGGGGAAAGCAGTCTGAGGACAGAGGCTTAAGAAACCCAGGGAGCAGAAGAAACAAGGAGCCAGTGATGGAAACTAAGGCAGGGTCAGAAAGATCTCAGTAATGTCTCCAGATGGCACTTCTCAATTCTAAACATCATTCAACAAGAGCTGAAACCGTCTGGGAAGAAGGAACTAGAAGGAATACTCACCACAGCATCATCACACACACTTGAGTGCACTAAAAAAGACTGATGGATATTTCTCAGATTTTTGCAAGAAAAGGGACCTTCTGTGAATTGGAGAAAAATCCAGAGACAACCAGATTTGATTCAACTATGAAAAGATAAAGGCCAGGAGCTTATTTGATTATATATCTTCTGTTCTGAACAAGCCAGTGGTAATGAAACTCAGTGGAGGTTTGGAAAAAGCATGGGCTGCAGAAACCCAAAAAGTTGGATTGTTGTGAGGAATGAAAATGCCCTTTGGGATCTGACTATTCAGCAAATTGAAAAAATTGAACAAAACCTACAATACCTATGTTCCTCTTACTCTAATGAACTCTTTTAACATGAATGAAGATGTAAAAAAAAGAAAACAAAAAACTATAGAAGTATATACCATTGCCAAATAAAAATCTGCCCTTTTAATCAAAGCAGGTATCTGAGGGTTAGTAAAGAATCTGTACTGCCTGTAGCAATGTCCCTTACTTAGGGGAAAAGACAGAAGCTTGGTTCCCTCCAGGTCATGGTGGTATTTACACCAATTTCTACAACACTGGTTAGCTTCCCCTACCCTTACAGGAGAAGGCAAAGTCTATTTTTGTGCCTAATATAGATAATTTGGGTGCCACGGAGCTTTATATTTAAATTATCTAATGAACCCACCCAGTGGAAAACCTTGTGAATTTGTCATGGAAGTCACAAATAAAACACATGCAGTTGTAAAGCAAGGGACACTCAGTATGCTGGCAAACTGGTAAAACACATGTTGACAAATCCAAGTCTGTACCAAAATTCAAAATATTTAACACAAACCACCTATGGAGCTCTCTTGTTAGCAGTTAAACTACAAGAGCAGAGTAGGAGCATGTTGACAAGGAAATCACTGTGAATCCACAGACTTCAGACGGAGGCCTGCATTCAGTCCTACAGTGAGAAACTGCATCAGGGGCTGTCAGTACAGGTTCAGAGAACTCTCTAGGTAGTAATGTTCCCAGGAAGAATTTTTGCCTGTCACAACCACATCATATCTCTGCTTGTGATGTCAAACTTTATAGCCAGGATCTTTGAGCAGGAAGTTTCCTACAGAGCCCCTGG